AATGACAACCCCTCCACTTTCCCTCAGGCCTTCCCTCACACCTTATTTATAACAAATTTTATGTACTTGTGTATGTTATATATAAAAATTTGAATCTACTTTATTTTTTAAAATATATTTTTATTTATTTCAGAGAGGAAGAGAGAGAGATAGAAGCATCAATGATGAGAGAGAATCACTGATTGCTGCCTCCTGCACACCCCACATTGGGGAATCAAGCCTGCAACCCAGACATGTGTCCTGACCAGGAATCGAACTGTGACTTTCTGATTCATAGGCCAGTGCTCAACCACTGAGCCATGTGGGCCGGGCTGTATCCACTTTATAAAGTACTTGTTAAGAAACTGTCTAGTTTCACTAATTTAATTAACAAACTATAAAACTCTTCCTGCTTTTAGTTGGTCTTATTTCCCATTGGCCATGCAAGAGTTTTATATTGAACATCTGATGCCAATTTATCTGTTAAGAACTCAAATTCTTCTCGAGGAGGTAAATCTAATTTGATGAAGATGATAAATGATATTTTAAATAAACTGATAAATTGAGTGACTTCAACTACACCTTAAATGGCTACAAATTCATAAAGTGCATTTAGTTTCTTCTGAAGTGCAATGATTCCTCTGGTCATTAGAGGCAGCTACATTTATAATTTCTCAGTGTGCTAAGTCATTTCATGGTTTCAAATCATTCTTGAGCTTCCAAATATGGTGAATTTATTTCTTACTTAAAACTTTCTCACTGAAATATGCAAATGTATAAGTGTTCTCATGAGGAAAAACGGAAAATATGGGGTTTTTCATCCCCATTATAGATTTCGGGAATATAATGTCTGTATGTGTTTCCAGTTTAGATATTTGTTTTACCCATTTTATCCACACTGATTATTTTAATGATGACTTTGTGGAACACTGAGAGTTAACAAATTGTGTTTTGAGCACATTTTTTGGCACTTTGTTGGATTTGCAGCAATTCTCTTTTCTTATGTTAAATTTCCCACAACGTTCACACTCATGGAAAATGTTCTGGGACATGCGCAGATTCTAACTTTTTCCTGAAAAAATGTATCCTTATTGTAGAATGCTAACGTACATTATTCATGAGAAAACATTTCTGGAACCTGTGAGAAGCCTGGTTTCTTTTGGTTATTCCGGTATAAAGTAGGGAATAACATCCTTATTGTTTTATTCTTTATTTGTTACCTATCTGCTTTCAAAAATACAATAGTTAATTAAACCCTAGACTTATAAAAGAGATTGAAAAAAAATTAGAGAAAGAAAGAAAATCAAATGGCCCTAAAATGAGACTGTTACTGAGATTCACATACAACTTTTCGCTTCTTGACAACCAAGACCCCCCCCCAAAAAAATCCAGAAATACAGTGTGGTTCTATTTGTGTATGATTTTTTTAAAGGAAGTTTTGAGTATACCTAAATATGCAAACTTTGTGTAGACATTAATTTACAAATGGAATTTAAATAGCTTTCTAAGTAATTTTGAGGGGAATAGAGGGGAATGTCACTCCTGTTGTTTTGTAAAAGCTATCAAAATGTTTATCACAGGGCCAGTTTTCATATGGTGGTCAATTCTGAAGGAAAGATGGAGCACACAACAGAAATTATTTGGGAGGATAACCTAGTATTGTCCAAATATGCTGACTTCTGTTCATTCTACCCGATTTAGTGATAATCTGTAAGAGCAAGAGCAATGATTAATCATGATCCATAGGCTATATCTCAAGTATCAGTAATCTTAACTATGCTTCTAGTTTGAGCTAAATGGGTTTCATTAAATGGTTGTTGAGTGAATGAATGAACAAATGTATGCGCTCTAGGGATTACCTGATATCAGTATTCTAAAATGTAGTCTGATGGAAAAATAGCAGCTTTGCAACGAGGTAACTCCTAATGGTGTGACCTTTGACAAGTTATTTAATCTTTCAGCTTCAGCATAATGGGTATTACAATATATAATTTGTAAAACTGTGGTGAGGATTAGTGATAACATATCATTGGTTCATAACATGCTTCATACGTAATATGTACTTAATTAGCAGTAGCCATTTTTTTTACATTGTTAATAGAAAGAAAAAAAAGGAGCCATGCTTTTAATGTCAGCACACTCAACATTCTGTTGGGAAAAGTAATAATGATGCTTCTCCACATGGTACATTGGGATAACCTATGGGTGGAAGTAAAACTGTTCTAAAATTGTTATGAAAACTAATTTAAAAATCTTAAGTGCCTAGAAACATTCTTGATTGAGAAGCCCCTGTTTGTGGTCATAAAAGATAGGGGAAATGTTTTATTGGATGGGACAATTTTATGAGTGTAATTTTTTCTCTATCTGAACCATAGTGTAACCTAAACAAGGAACCTATTATTCAAATGGCTGATTTACCCCACTAGGATTGCTAGGATGATTTAACTGGAAAATGGATTAGCAACCCCAAAAGTTGGGGTTGATTTTATTTGGACTATGTGAGTTTAAGCTCATGGCTATGCAAAATATTAATCTTAGCTTTAGGATATTTGTTGATAATTTCTCTGGTTCCAGCAATGAAATTATATCAAATGATAGAGGATGAGTTTTCTGTATACCAAATGGGAAGAGCTCTGGTACAGAAAATGTGAAGAAATTGTCATCAGATAGACCATAGAGTCAAATAGAATAATTTATCTATATGCAAAAAGAATCAGTACCTCCACACTTTCTCTTAGAGAAGTCATTAAAATATCTACTCTGGCATGGCCCATGAGTGTCTAGTTATAAACCAGGAGGTCATGGTTCAATTCTGGTCAGGGCACATGCCTAGGTTTCAGGCTCAATCTCTGGTGGGGGTCATGCAGGAGGCAGCCGATCGATGATTCTCTCTCATCATTGATGTTTCTCTCCCTCTCCCTTCCTCTTTGAAATCAATAAAAAATATTTTTTAAAAGATCTACTCTGTATAATATTGAGGACAATAATCATTTATCCTTTTTTAAAGGTCATGTTTACTAATCTAGCACCATAATTCCAGTCTTAGGATCCCCCAAGCTGCTAGAAGGAGGAAGGGAAGAGGTGAGGATATTGGGAAAGTAAGCACAGTTCTTAACTTGTGGCCCCATTTGTGCTCGAAGCAAAGGCTGAGACTGGACAGAAGACAGAAGCTTTGGTTCTGATGTAAAGGAGGCCCTAGAGAAGAGTAGAGTCAGGGTTTCCTGGAGCCAGTACTGGAGTTGGCCTCGTAAACTAGGGGGTTTCTTCTTGGCATCCATGTCCTTTTGAATTTCTTCAAGTTTTTTAGCCAGGTTTGGCATGTCATAATTTTGAGCCAGATACATTCCAACCAGGTTGCCAAAAGTAAATCCAACCAGGAACTGGAGCATGATGTCAGTGAAGACGGCAGGATGGGCGGTGGTACGAGTAGCTCTGTGGGCCTATCATTAAGTCTTAAGCATTTCACACAGTGGTTTACACACCTTCTTAATACTCAGTGAAAGGCTTGCATTCAATGATTAGAAAGTGGTCTCTGGGGGGAAAATCATACTACAATGCCAATTATCTTACACGTGCTTTCCCTCTATATTGAACTCCTAATAAGCTCTCTAACTTATCTGTACAAAGCTAAGGATCTGGGGATTTATCAAAATTTTTAAGTCCATGAGATTTCCATATGGTGACACATCTTAGAAGCTTTCTATATGTTTGCAACTGAAGATTCGGCCAATAGTTTATCCTGAGACTGTGTTATTTGAAAAAAGACCCCACCCCCAAAATAAAATAAAATAAAATAAAAAGAGAGACTCAGCCTAAAAATACGCTTACCCATCAGGAGGACATAAAAAGAAGTCATCGCTTTGATTTCATATACTGGAGTCACTGAGGATATAAATTCCCAGGAATATTTAATCGCACAAATAAGACTGTACTACTGCCTTTCAACTTGCAAGTTCCAGTGAGAAACAGCTGTTTCTCATTGCTCTCAACTCTTCAGAACCTCAACCTCTGATTTCTTCAGGCTGCAATTCTAGAGTAGGGACTCAGAGCACCACTATCAGCCAATGTGAAAACAGGGATAAATGAGGAGTTTCCAAAAGGTTTCCACTGGATGACTTTCCTAATCAGACTTTGCCAAAGATCTGGGGTCTTATGTCCAAGGCTTACCCACTCAGAAGCTATGGGTTAAGAAAACAGATACTTCACTCCAGATGAAGAAAATGGAGACTTACTTGTGAGTAACAAGATGGACCTGGAGTAAATATGACGACATGCTAGAGTTTGTATCATATGTTTAGAAACAGTAGTTGAACATCCTTTAATTATTTTTCACATTAATATAAATATTCAATATATAAATAATAATACCCTCTGGTTCAGCAGGAGTGTTTTTAGTTAAATATGTGAATTGACCCAGCCTGGAGCAAAATTTGCAATAGAATCTACAGAAGATCCTGATGTTGGAAGCAATTCCTTTACAAAATTACTGCCTTAGCAGCAACTCTATATTTGTCTTCAAGTAAAAGAAAGCAACAATAGAAACAAACACTGAACTTGTGTTAAAGAAGCTACTAGACCTGGAAAAGCAAAGCTCACATCACTTAGCCCTGCAGCGTTAGATGATGAGGACTACCTGGAAGCAACACAACTACAACACCCCCACCCCTCATTTTAACCAGAATGTACACAGGGTCAGTCTTTGAGAAGCCATTCCCCAGCATAGGGTGAGGGTGAGGGCCACTGACCTGGACGAGG